CTAGACTAGACTAGACTAGAATAGACTAGACTAGAATAGACTAGAGTAGAATAGACTAGAATAGACTAGAGTAGAATAGACTAGAATAGACTAGAACAGAATAGACTAGAAGACTAGACTAGAATAGACTAGAATAGACTAGACTAGAATAGACTAGACTGGAATAGACTAGACTAGACTAGACTAGACTAGACTAGAATAGACTAGTATAGACTAGACTAGACTAGACTAGAATAAACTAGAATAGAATAGAAGAGACTAGAAGAGACTAGAAGAGACTAGACTAGACTAGACTAGAATAGAATAGAATAGTAAAAGACAATGTTGTACTGGGAAAGAAACTGACACATACCAACAAAACAGAGAGCCCCAGTTTCATGCTTACAGAACTTGGAATGTAATGAAATGAGATGATAGGGATTATGTAGTAGATGGTGCTAGAAAAACTGACTGCAATCCTACTTGGCATGCTCTGCAGACATTCACTCAGAAAACCCAAAATAATATAACTTGGCACCAAGGTCACTTAGGTTGGCAGAAAGATATAGCACAGTAAACAACTAGCATGTAAAGGAGGCATCCTCCTTAGGTAAACCTCGTGTGTGATAGGGAGCACTATCTTGTAAAAAACCCTCAAGGTAGTTCCAGGTCCCTACAACAAGGAACAAGCTTGGTTACCGGTTTCATATCTTACTCAGATAAATCAACATCTGTGCTTTGTCTTTTTACAGTTAAAACAAGCAAAAAAGGCTGCCTGGTAAAGAGTTTTATTTTCCATATTTATCTTAACTTTGTAGGTTACCAAGGAAACAGTGCTGAACAGAAAGTAAACCCCAGATAATTTTTTCCCCATAGCAAGAGAAGGGGTTTTGTTAACCCCTTCCTTTTAATGACTAGATGGAGAAAAAGTTTAATTCATACCTCATACTATATCCAAAAATTAATTCCAATTAAATTTAAGACCTAAATGTAAATGGTAAAACTATAAAACCAATAGAAGAACAAGACCTAAGGCTGGGCGCAGTGGCTCATGCCTGTAATCCCAGCACTTTGGGAGGCCAAGGTGGGCAGATCACCTGAGGTCAGGAGTTCGAGACCAGCCTGGCCAACATGGTGAAACCCTGTCTATACTAAAAATACAATAAAAATTAGCCGGGTGTGGTGGTGCATGCCTGTAGTCCTAGCTACACGGAAGGCTGAGGCAGGAGAATGGCTTGAACCCGGGAGGCGGAGGTTACAGTGAACCAAGATTGTGCCACTGCACTCCAGCCTGGGCAACAAGAGGGAAACTCCATTTCAAAAACAAAACAAAACAAAAGACATAAAAAACATAAACCATTGGGGGGATTTCTATTATATGAAAAACAACAAAGACAAGAATGAACAAATGGCAAGTTATTTCCAACATCTGAACTTGACAAGAAAATAGTATCTACATATAAATAATTTCTTGGCTGGGAGCAGTGGCTCATGCCTGTAATCCCACCACTTTGGGGGCAGAGAGGCAGGCAGATCTCTTGAGCTCACGAGTTCGAGACCAGCTTAGGCAATATGGAGAAACCCCATCTCTACAAAAAAATACAAAAATTAGCCAGGCGTGGTGGTACATGCCTTTAGTCCCAGCTACTTGGGATGCTGAGGTGGGAGGATGGTTTGAGCTCAGGAGATGGAGGTTGCAGTGAGGTGAGATCACACCATTGCACTCCAGCCTGGGCAACAGGGCCAGACTTTGTCGCAAAAAAAAAAAAAAAAAAGTGTGTATATATATATATATATACACACACACACACACACAGTTTATACCATACTGTAATCAGCAAGAAAGAAAAACTTAATAGAAAAGAGACAAATTATAAGTACAGACTATCCACAGAATGGAAAATCAGAATGACTAAAAAGCATATACTTCATCAGTAATCAGATAATGCAGATTAAGAAAAAATAATATTTTATACACATCAGATTAGCAAAAATCAGAAAATATCAAGTGCTACTGAAAATGAAGAGAAAATGAAGCCCTCAGGTCTTGCTTGTGGAAAGGAAACTGGGATAACCATTCCTGAGAACGATCCAGCATGACTTAAATTAAATATGCATATACCTCAAACTCTAGGACATATATAGCAAAGAAATGAAAGGGCAGGTTTCCTGAAAGGGCATTCTTCCTTCATAGGAAGACATGTACAAGCTTGCAGAAGTGGAAATAGCTGGGAAAAATATAAGTATCTGTGACTAGAGGAAAAGATAAGCTTTGGTATATGAACACAATAGAATAATATGCACCGGTCAAAAGCACATTTTAGGTCAGGCATGGTGGCTCACGCTTGTAATCCCAGCACTTTGGGAGGCCAAGGCGGGCGGATCATGAGGTCAGCAGATTGAGACCATCCTGGCTAACACGGGGAAACCCCGTCTCTATAAAAATACAAAAAATTAGCCGGGTGTGGTGGCATGCGCCTGTAGTCCCAGCTATTCGGGAGACTGAGGCAGGAGAATGGCATGAACCTGGGAGGCGGAGCTTGCAGTGAGCCGAGATCGCACCACTGCACTCCTGTCTGGGTGATAAGAGTGAGACTCGGTCTCAAAAAATAAAAATACAAAAACTAGCTAGACATGGTGTCAAGCGCCTGTAATCCCAGCTACTCAGGAGGCTGAGGCAGAAGAATCGCTTAAACCTGGGAGGCAGAGGTTGCAGTGAGCCAGGATCGTGCCATTGCACTCCAGCCTGGGTGACAAGAGTGAAACTCCATCAAAAAATAGAACTATTCTTGTGTTCTGTTTTACCTTAAGAGTTTTTATTCATCTCCCTCCTGCAATTTCATACTGTACTCCCCCTAGTTAATATTTGTCCTTCCAAGTCATCTCTCATATTTTGGATATAGTTTCTTGAAAACCATATAATAGTATTTATATGTTTAAATTTTTAACATAAATGATATTGTGGCATAAATTGTATTCTTCTTTCATAAAATATTAGGTTTTTAAGACTTATCCACATTATTTATATAATGTGCTTTTTTGTTGTTGTCGTTGTTTTTTTGAGCCAGTCTCGCTGTGTCACCCAGCGAGCCATCACGGCCGGCTAATTTTTTTAGTAGAGACGGGGTTTCACCATGTTAACCAGGATGGTCTCGATCTCCTGACCTCGTGATCCGCCCACCTCAGCCTCCCAAAGTGCTGAGATTACAGGCATGAGCCACCTTGCCCGGCCTA